CCCCAAAACCCCAAAACCCCAAAACCCCATAATACTACATTTTTAATAATAGAAGTAATTAAGAAGGGTTGATATTTGAATAACTTTTTATTAATATAAATGTTAGGGTATATACATTTGAAATCGGAATATTCTGGCACGTCTTCATTATCCTGTAACCATGAGAGACGCTTTATCCCCAAACCAGCTATCATATAACTATATACTATGATTTACTGTGCCAAGGGATGCCAGGTTCAATGATTACCTTATTAAACATTTTCATAATTATTGTTATTAATGGTCAATGGTTTATGTATAATTGTAAAAATTCTACGACTCCTCATTCTAGAAGCTAGTGTAATAAAAAGGCGAAAAACCATTCATTTAATTTTGCTGCGAGAATTGAAGTTGCTAGTATTAGTAATTGAAGAAGGCTTGATCTTAACTATATTGTTAAGTCTAAAAGTTGGCTGTATAGAAATTGTCTTATTAATTGGTTTGGTCACTGATTAAATCACTTTCGCAATACTGATTAAAGTCCTCAAAGCTTTGGTAGTATATTTGCTAATATTATGGGAGTTGTTGATTGAAATCATGCATCACTGGATTTTGAGAATAATAATTTATTTGTGCACTCCTTGAGGGTACTGGATTACTAGGTCTTTCAGGCACTTCTTGCCTTAAATACTCACTCTCATAATGCCATTAAGCATTTTGTAAGGTGTAGTCGTCGTCATGTGTGTTTTAACTCTCTTATTTGATAAGTGAACTTGCTTAAATATTTTGTTAGTTTTGTTTGCAAGTCGTCTATTATAAGTTTTATATTATTGGCTTGACTATGGCTTTTTTAGTCGAACTTTTCCAAATTGATAGCATCTCTTCTTCGGCCTCAACTAGGAACTCTAGCGTACGCTGACTTTTTGGCTTAGTCTCGCAAACATCAGGTCTATCCTGGGTGAAGGATTCTTCCAAGATGTTGTCGTTGCTTCCACCGTATATTATATTATAATCTTTTTAAGGAGAATTATTCAATGAATAAATAGTTGACGTTTGACTATCAGCGGAACCTAAACTACTCGAAAAGTTTCCCTCTGATTCATTCAATTTCTAATTGTATTATCTTTTTACTGATATTTCATGAGAATCATCATATAATCTTAAGTTATCAAAGTTATTGTTAAGGAAGGTAATAGGGCTTTCCATTTGTTGGATATTGAAATAGTCGTAATAATTATTTCTAAATTAATATTAACTCTACCTACGAAATAAAATGTAATAGTTATTAAACTTTCAAATTAATTTAACGACAAATACTTTTTCTATCACTTGAAAATAAAATGTCAAACTTGTAAACATCAACGACCTACCAGTTCTCTCGATAACACTAATTCAATTTTCCTACAACAACTAACGAATCAAATGAATTTGAGAAATCAGTAGAGAAGAAACATAAGAAGACAAAGTAAAAGAGTTCTTAAGCCAGATCTTAAAAACCTAAAGGAGCAACATGCTATGAATTCACTGAAGTGTTTGTGTGGGGTGATGACAGATGGGGTTAGCTTGGACTATACCACCAAAAGATAAGAAAGGGTTATCATGATCAAACTTCTTTTAAAATCCCAAAAACTTGCAGTTTTAATATCTTAATAAAACAAATTTCTTGCGGAGATGCTCATTCAGCTATCCTCACAAATTAGGGGCATTTGTACATGATGGGAAGTAATATTAAGGGTTAGTTAGGAATTGGGGACAACTGCCCAGATCTACAGAATAGAGACTGTGCAGGAGCTCCTTGTTTAGTAGATTCACTTAGAGATTATAAAGTGGATAAGGTAGTTTGTGGATGGAATCACACCATTGCAATTGTGAATGACAAGCAAAGAAATTCTATAGAACCCGACATGATCGATGATAACTAATTTATTTTCGTCTGGGGATCAAATGAGCAAGGTTAACTTGGTATACCTCTTTAAGGATGCATTGATCTTCCAGTCAGATAAAGCTTTTTTGAGCATATTGAGGTAAGAGTTAAGGATATCTATGCAGGCTACCAACATACATTATATGTTACAGAGAACGGTCAAGTATATTCAACCGGGTCAAATTCATTCGGCTAGTTAGGTCTGGGCTAATAAGAGTTATTCATAAATCAGCCTGTTCTTATTGAAGGTATCCTAGATAGAATGATTATTAAGGCAGCTGCTGGTGAGTAACACTCTCTATTTCTATCAAAGGAAGGAGAAGTTTATGCTTGTGGCAGTAATTAACAAAACTAACTAGGAATACCCGAAGTATAAAATTTACTTTATACTCCATAGAAGTTGAACAATCTTTAAAACTATAGAATTCAAGAGATTTAGGCTAGATCTCATTCGGCAGCAATAAGCAATCAAGGAGAATTATTCCTGTGGGGGCTTGGAGTATTTGGCCAATACAGAACACCTTAAAAGATTCTAACTATCTCTAATCCAGTAAAAAACATAAGTCTTGGTGGGACTGTTGGGTCTGCAGTTGATGTTAAAGGATTGCTGTGGACTTGGGGAACTAATGGCTTTGGAGAGCTAGGTGTGGGCGATAATGATCCTAGAATTCATCCATACCCAGTTTTGACTTTAAAAGGAAAAACTGTGACTCAGATTTCATGCGGAGGCTAATATGTTATAGCTTTAGGAAGCAACATTAAAAAAGAAATCCCAGGTCTTAAGCTTAAGAAATCAAGAGAAAATTCTCTATAAAAGACTCGCAAGAGCTCAGCTTTTAATAAGAACTCTTCTTAAAAAAGCATGCATCAGAGAAGTTTATCTCATGGGAAACAAAAGAATTCTAGTTCAAGTTTCATATTGAGAAAAGAGTCTGTTGGAAGTTCAGATCATATTATTTATGGACAGGAGAGGATCGACACAAGCACAAGATCACTGCCTAAGAGCAAGTCCAGTGGTGGCTAGTCAAGGTTGATTAAAAAGAGAGATTCTAGAGGATCAATAAATAAGAGTAAAGATGTAATTCCTAAATCAAAAGGCAAATCTAAGAAATAAAAAGTAGGCAAAATCAGTTCATCAGTTCCTTTTTCTGGAGAGGAAACAACAGTAATAAAGCCGAATAAACTAAACACATCAGGGATAATCGTCAAAAATAAAAATAAATTGCTCATTACTAACTATAAAGAGCAGGGCATTAGCAATTAAAGTGACTTGCTCAACTAAAACCATTCAAAGAAGTTACAGTAGTAACTTGGTTTCCAATAAAATATCAACCAAATTGAGCTGAACACCTCTAACTAGAACACTAATGAATCTCAGAGCGAGTTTATGTATATTCCACAGCCTCTGCTCTCCACCACCAATAAAGAAAAGCTGATCAAAGAACTTACCTAGGAAAATAAGATGATTAGGTAAGAACATGAGCAGCTTAAGAAGGATTCAAAGTACTTGAAGCATCAAATGGAAAACTTTGAGAAGCAGTACGAGAAATCCAAGATAGGTTAAGCTCACTAATAAGAGATTCAAGGCCTCTATCAAGAACTCAAGAAAAAAGAAAGCAAAATCACATCAATGAGGGAAAGGAAAACTACTTTAAAACAAGCAATCGAGGAGCTACAAGCCGAATGCAAGACTTTGAAAAGCTAGAAAGTTGAATCAGATGTCTTGGTTAAAGATCTAAAGGTGTAAATGGAATAACTTAAAACTTAGAATCAGGAAATTCAAAGTAGATATGAATAGTCTGAGCAACGAAATAACTAACAAGAGAAGGATATGGTGGAGATACAGATGGATATCAAGTAGATTAGTGATCATAGCAAAGACGTAGAGAGAGACCTATTAGACAAACTGCATTAAATTTCTGAGAAGTACAGATTGGCTTGCGTTTAAATTGATGACTTGCAAACTCATTAAAAGCAAGATAAAAAGAAAATAGATGAAATGCAGTACTAAGTCAAAGATCATAATTTTTATACCTCAGCACTCGAGAAGGAAAACTAATTCTTAAGAGAAGAAGTAGAGAAAGTTAAGTACAGCAAAGATAAAAATGAGTATAGTAAATTTCTACAAAACCTAGTGCCAATTAGGGGCATGAAGCTCACTAGCAGCAGTTATGGTAAAAATAATTAAGACTAGCAAGTTAACAATGAAAATAATTGCAGTTTCAATAGATAGGTTGAGTAACCTGCCAAGAGTCCATTCAAAGATTAGACTATGAATCTCAATCAAGCATTGAATAAGGCAGAAAACTATCTAAAAGAAAGCCAGTTTGGTATCAGCACTCCTAATAGAGAGCCCTAAATACTCTAGGCATCTTAGATGAGAATGAGCGAATTTAAAATTGACAGGCTTCATAATGAGGAGCAATAATAAAACATGAACTCTTCATTTGATAGGACAAGTGCTAATAACTAAATGGATGATACAAGAATGAGCTACAATCAGAAACTGCTTAAAAGCATCGAAAAGCGAACTCAAAGAGACAACAAATTCAGATGAATGCCAAAGCAAGAATAACTACTACGGAAATGGATACTATCCCATCACTTTTATTAATTAATCTCTAATCTATAGATATATCGATTGATAATTTTACTAATAACATCTTAATTAATAATTTAAATTTACTTTAAAATGGTAGAATCTTCAGATGATATTGGAAGAGCTATACCCTTTATTTCCATCGACTAAAAATCAGGCCACTTTGAGGTTACCTCCGATGCTATGGAAATTTTAGATTCCCTACCAAGGAACATGAAAGTGTCAGTCGTAGCTATCGCAGGTCCTTATAGATCAGGAAAATCCTTCTTGGCTAACAGATTATTAAATTAGAGTAAAGGTTTTGAGATCGGTAGCACGACTCAAGCTTGCACTAAAGGAATATGGATTTGGAATAAGCCAGTCCAAGTTTCTGAAAACCATATCATGCTCTTGCTTGATACAGAAGGACTGGCTTCTACCGAGAGATCAACAAACATTGATATAAAGATATTCACACTTTCTCTTCTGTTAAGTTCTTTATTCATCTATAATCAAATGGGGCCAATCACTGAAAATTCACTAGAAGATCTTTCGCTGATCTCAAATTTAACTAATCATATTCACTTTCAAAAAACTTAGAAGGAAACTGGATCTGATTACAGGACATTCTTCCCTTCTTTTTACTGGGTACTTAGAGATTTCTATCATGATCTTGAAGGCTAATCCCCCAAGAAATATTTGGAAGATTGCTTGCAACCAACAAGTGGACTCTCCTCGGAAAAATTGAAGAAAAACATGATAAGGGAGGCAATCACTAAATACTTCAAAGAAAGAGAATGCTTCACCATGATTAGACCAGTAAGTGATGAGAGTAAATTAGCTCATGTTGATAGTCTAAAGTGGGAAGAATTAAAGAATGATTTTAGAAAGGAGGTGACTAGTTTTGTAAAAGATGTTAAAAAGAAGCTGAGGCCTAAAGTTGTGAATGGAAAATTCCTTAATGCGAGTATGGTCTTATCTTTAGCTCTAGAATATACAGAGGCAATAAATTCCAAGGAGACTCCCACTGTGCTTACTGCTATTGATAGAGTTGTTCAAGCTGAAACAGCTAAAATAACAGACGATATGTATGATCATTTTTGCAACCAAATCAATGAGTCATTATCTGAAGAGAATATGCCATTTACCAAGGTGACTTTCAAGAAAATACTTAGGAAATTAGTCAGAAGTACCAGGTATCAAGTATAAAAGTAACTAGGGTAGATTTTAAATCTAGAGGAAATTCTAAAAGAAACAGCCAATTTTGACGAGAGAATTAACGAGATAGTAAAAGCAAAACTGAAGCAAAACTATTCTGCTAGTTATCATTATGCAACAGGGCTTTTGACAAAACTCTATCAAACAGTTGATAATCCATTCAAGAACCTTCCAACAAATAACAATAATCTTGACTCTATATTCATTCACGAATATATTAGGAAGTGGATAGCTCTTGGCAAGGAATATAAGGAGCTTGGAAAATGTACAAACCAATGGGAGTGTTTAGTAGAGAGCTTAGTTAAATTGCCAGAGGGAAGGTCTTTATTCATTTAGAGGGAGTTAATCGATTTCGATTAAAATTATGTTAGCACATCAACGATTGGAGATGAAGTGGATGATTTATAGTCAAGTAGTGGTTAAAATAGCATCCAGTTGCATTAAAACCATCATGCCTTAACTATATTCTAGACTGTTATAGACTAAATCAACGATATGATGAACGACTAGCTAAATAAACTTCGAATAAACTAGAATGAATCTCAGGCAAACGAAAAGAAACTATCGTAGAAAAAGAAGCAAAACGATCAATTGATTGATCTACAGAGAGTGCAAAATGATGACATCACGAATATGAAGCATGAACTTGAAATGAAGATTGAAAATCTAAAGAGAGAGATCCAGTCAAGACTCTAAGAACTGGATTCACTTAAGTAAGTCAAAGACATGGAGAGCAAAAATGTTAAGAGAATCTAAGACAGACAAATCAAGGAAAAAGATGATGAGATCAAACAGCTAGAATCCTAGAAGATCCAAGCAGATCAAACTTTTTAGGCATCCCTAGGCAAAGTCCAAGACTTGGACTCAGAAAAGCGCAAGGAAATCTCTTTAGTTTAGAATGAAATTAAGAAACTTGAGGAGGATGTGGAAGAACTTAAGAATAAGATGAAGAACAAGGAAAACAACCCTTTCTACATCCAAGTAAATCAGTTCTTCGGAGAGGTTAAAGAATACATTGAGGAGTTCAAGAAGATTGTAGTTTCATAAGATGACTCTAAGAAGCATAAAATGCGTTTGTTTCAGCTTTAGAAGCAACTGAATGACATAGAGTATCAATCTAATCAAAATGAACTAAAGCAGAAAAAGAAGTAGGATGAAGATCTTAGGGCTAAGAAAGACAAACTAGAGCAGGATTTAGAGTTAAGAATTATTGAATCTGATTAAGAGCGATAGAAGATATATCAACTTCAGGACAAGAAGCAGATCTATGAGCAATAGATTGAGATTGTCTCTTCTAACATCAATGATGCCTAAGAAGCGTAAAAGGTGTTGACTAATAAGTTTGGCCAGGCATTTAGAAGCCAGCAGCTTAAGCAGAAGAAATTAGATGAAGTCTAGAACGACATTTAGAGCTTTGGTGAGCAGCAACTGAGAATTGAAGAGCAAATATATAAGATCAGTATCGAAAATAAGCAGAAGTAAGAGGACAAGGAAATCATACTTATGCTCTTACCCTAAGTGCTTAAGTATCTTAAGGGAAAGCAAAATAACATCAAGGGATTCCTAAATCAAATGGAAAACGAACTTGTGAAATCAAAAGTCCAAAAAATGTTCTTAACATATAAAATACCTTTTAAGTGAATCAATTTAATCATTTATTATAGTCTAAATTATGCTGATGTGGGGTTTTGGGGTTTTGGGG